TTGTCTCTAAGTGGGGGATAATGGGTTGGTTAATAATTGATTCCATGATTTTACAGGTGACACAGCATAAGGAGATTGGTCGGTAATTTTCAACTAGGCTGGGGTCTCCCTTTTTGAAGATGGGGATGACCGTGGTTTGTGACCATAGGTTAGGCAAGGAGCTGGTCTTGAAAGATTTTTCAAAGATTATGCTTAGAGGTTCTGCTAAGGCAGTGGATAACTTTTTTAAGAAGTAGGTACATATTCCATCCGGTCCAACAGATAGAGATGGTTTTAGATTGCGTAGTGCTTTTTCAACATTGTCTTCTGTAAAATTGATATGTATTAGATCATTGTAGTTTTCTGTGGTTTGGCTAGGAAATACTGTGCATGATGGATGCATTGCTGTTTAAAAATACTGAGCCAAAGAATGTGTTAAAGATGCTGGCTTTAATGGTGTCATCGTTGCAGTCTTTACCATTAGGTCCTATCAGGTGTGGGATGGACCTTGAGTCTTTTTGTTTGTTGCTTACAAAATTGTAAAAAGCGCAGTTGGAATTGGTGCGTAGAAGGTTTTCCTCTTGTTTAATGTGATAATTGGTGCATTCAGTTTTTATCTGGTGGCATAAATTGTTGTATCAGCTTTTGAAGTTGGCAACATGACCAGATTTGTTTTTCTGCCAGAGTGATCTCTTTTTGGATTGAAGTTTCCTTATTGTTATGGGTAATCTGTTTTTTTGTTTTTGTTTTGGGAGTTGTTATTGGTACATATAGTTTGAAGACTCTTTTCACTTCAAGTAAAAATATGTTGTAATGGTCTTCAACAGTATTGCATCCAGTGAATAGAGATTGCCAATCAAGGGATGAGAGATAGTTGTCTATAAGATCATAATTGCCTTTTCTGAAGTTATAATTGGGGATTACATCATTGTGATGATTTTTATGTGGGCGTATGTTGAGACAAAAGTCAATCATATTGTGGTCACTGTTGGAAAAGTGTTCTTTAGTTTGTATTCTGTAAATTAAATTCGAACTATTGCAGAAGATGAGATCAAGGCAGTTGCTAAGTGTAGTATTGTTGGTTACTAGTTTTTCCAGTCCCAGATTTGTAAAAGCATTGTAGAAGGTTGCATGTATGGGTTCAGTTGTACATTTGTTTAGGGTCCAGTTAATATGAGTTAATATGAGGTAGATTGAAGTCACCAAGAAAGATAAAAGCATGTGGGCAGGATGTTGCCCATGTTAGTAGTGAATTTAGCTTGTTTACATGTTCGATGTCATAATCAGGTGCTCTGTAACATAGTAAGAATTGAAATGAGATATTTAAGGATAGTTCACAGATGATGGTCTCAGAAAGAGCAAGCTCCTGGGTAACTTGGATGTTTTTTAGATGTCAGGACTTTTTATAGAAGATAGCAACACCACCTCCTCTACGAATTTCACGATCTGATCGGTAAACATGATAGTCTCTTACTGTAGTAATGAAGTCAGGGAGAGATGCGTTGAGCCATGTTTCACAGACAAATATGTCGAATTTATTTTATTTACAAGGCTTTTTATTCACAAGGCTTCTTGCATTGAGTAGCTTGTATTTCAGGCCAGCTGTAGTTGGAATTAAGGTAGTTAGGGGCGTGTGTGCCTAGTCTTGGGTGATGGATGGATTGGTTGAAGTAGGGTTGTGGTTGAAGGTTAAATCTGAGTTGTGGGTTGTGTGACTTACTTTTGATACAGTCAGCACAGTAGTCAATGTACAGGTCCTTCTCTCCATTGTCTAGACGTTTTTTGAGTTCTGTGTGGAGTACATGGGAGCGGGCATGTTGCTGTATGGTTAGGTAAGGGCAAGAACGGAGGTTCTTATGGTTGGTGTTACTTTTGGCAAGTGAATTTATAGTATAAATGAATTTACATTTGCTTGATTCATTTTTGCAATGACCCTGCAGAAGCGTGGAGCCACAGAGCTGTCTCTGTTTTTGAACTCTGGGCCGATGTGAAAAACCCCGATGCAGGAAATGTCAAGTATTTCATCAGGGGAGATGGTTGATGCTTGATAATCACTGACAACGTTGCGGACAGTTGTGATGTCATCATTGTAATTGATGTCCTCTAGACCAAATAAGATGGCATTTGGACATTTCCGTTCACGCTCAACAGCTTCTCTGATGAGGATTGGGATATCATTGTATATGCACCCATATACATTCATACACACACATTTATTCCTGTTTCCCCACAAGCCCACTAGAGATCCACTTTCTTCACAAAACAGCTGCTCAAAACAACACAGCAAATGGGCATAAAATGCCAATTCTTTCCATTTCAAGGACAGAAACAAACAAACAAAAAACTGGGACAGATGGAGAAAAGAGATAGGAATAAAATGTGATAAAATCTGGAATCGTAAACATGAAAATTGAACAGCAACAGTTTTGTTACATCTTCATTTTTGTAGACAAACTTTCTTGTAGGGGATATTTTAGAACCCTTGATTCTCTGGGTTTTATTACTAAATTTGAAGTTGACTGAATCAATAACTTTAGATACAATGGGAAAAAAAAACGGACTTTGGCCACAAATAGTCCATTGTTTATGAAGCAATTGAATTGCTTAGGTCATTTTTATCCATTTTGAAAGTTGATACGTAAAATATCAATTTAGATCAAATCATAGATACTGACACAAATTACACTGTGCAAAATGCTGTAAGTTAACAAAAATGAACAAATTTTGATGTGGTGGACATTTGGATTTAACAAATTAAAAATAGAGACAACCTATCTTTTAAAAAAAGTTATATTAAAGTTTTGTTACATTGGATAAAATATTTAAATATATAATCTAAAATATTTAGTATATCTGTGACATTCAATTATTACTGGTAGTAGGGTAGTGATGGGCTGTTAAGGTACTCTCAGATCCAACATGATACTATTGCACATCCTTATAATCCAAGTACTTAAAATGTGTGAATAAAAGCTCATTCAAACAATTAATATTACCTCAATGCTTGGTGTGGAATGATTCCCATCATGATGTACATATTCTTGTATTGTATGGACCTGCTGCATCAAGAGATCACAATAGAGGCGCAGTTCAGACATTTTGGTTTTTAGAGATTCGTTGGTTTCACTTATTTCTGGAAGAATACCAACAAACAAAAACTTAATAATCATGGTGATAATTGCCCTCCTCAAAAATAAAAATCAATATTAACATTTAATCTCATTCAATTTGATTGCAACTTGTTAAAGTTCTGCTCTTTTTGCCAGTTTCCAATTTTACTTCTATTTTATAGTTCTTCATAAATCCATTTTTTTCCGATGGGCCTACTAAATGTGCAGAACATCCTAAATAACTGTTTTGATACACCCTGCAAAAGTGACTGATGGCTATGTTGGTTCCACTGAAAATGGAGATACTATCTTACACAGAAAACAGTATTATTGTATATAGCTCAATTTTGCCTTATTTTATTTATATTATTTATGTCCAACTGCAGTATCAATTTAAAATCTGCAATCTTCTTAAGTATCTGGATTCTCTGAATGGGAGGATTCCAAGAACTATTATCCAATTTTTCTTCATCCAACTGACACACTGTAATCTATTATACAGTAGAGGTAATCCTCGACTTAGAATAGTTTATTTAGTGACTGTTTGAAGTTACAATAGCACTGAAAAAAGTGAGTTATGACTGTTTTTCACACTTATGACCATTGTGGCAACCCATTGTCACATGATCAAAATTCAGGCACTTGGCAACTCACTCAGATGATCACAGTGTCCCAGGTCATGTGAACCCCTTTTGTGATCTTCTGACAGTCATTGGGGAAGCCAGATTCATTAAACAATCGTGTTACTAATTTAACAACAGCAGTGATTCACTTATCAACAACAAAAAGGTCAGCAACCTTTCTAACAACAGCAAAACTAGCAACTTCAATATCACTCAGCTAATTTCTAACACTGAAATTCCCAAAATATTTATGATGGGATGGAGAGGAAACACCCAACATGGCCTATGACAGTGTGCACCCCAGTCACACATTCATCCCTCTTGTGAAGCAGTCTATGGTAGAGGATTTCTATCTAGTGGAAAGAACGCTGTAGAGTCCCCAACGGCACACTGTTTGGGAAGCCCTATTTGTATACATTTCTGTCTATGTAGGACTCTTTCACATTACCAATGGAGGCATGCATCAATGATAGGAGTGGGACACCAGAACATTCTGCAACAGTTCCCAGAGTCTGCAGAACTAGAAATCAACCAATCCTTTGCTTCCAGGTGGAAAGAGCAAGGGCCACTCTGTGTAAGAATAGTATAATAAATCACTCTGGGCCCTTTTACTTGACTAATGCTTGTTTTCCTCTTCCCTATATATGTTTGCACTTCTTTTTGAATCAGATCTATTGTATTATGAATCTGCAACAGTAAATGTCTTAATTTTGAGTGCCTGAAGACTATAAAAGTGCCTACAAGTTTCAAACAAAGATGATTAGGAGGCTGGAGGCTAAAACATATGAAGAACATTTGCAGGAATTGGGTATGGCTAGTCTAGTGAAAAGAAGGACCATGAGTGTCATGATGTATTCCAATATTTGCGGGACTGCCCCAAAGAACAGGGGTCAACTTATTCTCCAGAACACCTGAAGGCAGGACAAGAAGCAATGGATTGAAACTAATCAAAGAGAAAAGCAGCCTAGAACTAAGGAGAAATTTCCTAACAGTGAGAACAATTAACCAGTGGAATGGCTTGCCTTCCAAAGTTATGGGTATTCCATCACTGGAGGCTTTTAAGAAGAAATTGGAGAGTCATTTGTCCCAAATGGTATAGGCTTTCCTGCTTGAGCAGGGGATTGGACTAGAAGACTTCCAAGGTGCCTTCCAATTCTGTTATTTTATTAAGCAAAGCCATATGGCTACAAAAGCTCCCCAAATGTTCAACGTGTAGGAAGTGAATCATGGTGCTTTCTAACCATGAAAGAAAAAGAAATAAAATTACATGTACGTTTTGATGATTTTGAAGAAAGTACCTTTTAAGAATTCCATAATATTTTAGAAAACATACACACCTTTTTCTTTTTTAGTTTTGGCATCAGTCAGGCAAGCTTTGGAACTCCCAAGGGCTACTAGCCACCTTTGTCGCTCAGCAGCGTTAACAGCTTTCATGTAGAAATGCTGTTCTCCTGGAATTATTAGCTCCATTCTGGTACTATCTGTAGGATGAACTTAGGAAAAAGAGAAAATGTAAAATAAGCTTATACATTTTCTAAAATGACCTAGAATAAGAAAAGTGTTAGCTAAATAAAATTTATGCATTCATATATTAAATTTAACTGCCTATCACCCACACAGAGACACCCTGGGTGATGTACAATTTAATCAATTTAATAAAAGATTTTTTTAAAATTAGGATTATTTTTTTAATATAAAATGTGTTGCTTTAGGTAAAGGATTGACAAAGCAGTGCACCAATTCACATGGCATTGCAGAAGGATAACATAAAGATATATTTCTGTAATTACTACTGTTCTCTCTGTGCTTCTGTGATATTAACATATATTTCATTCTTCAGATTCAAGGGTTTGTATTCAAAGGTAGTCTACACTTACTTAGATGTTTTCTGTGTTTCATTAAAAACTGCCACCAAAGGCAGGTGCACTTAGTAGAATCAAGAACAGAAGCAGACATGCTTTTAAACTAAGTCAAAAGAGATCTCAAGGTTCAGTCTTGGAAACTATGTTTAGTTCCAGAATTGAGCTCCTGTCACTTCTTAGAATCCTTCTTATCCTCCAAAGTTGTTATGGCTCCATATTGTGTGTTCCTACGAGTAAGCAATTTAGAACCAGAAAAACCTGTATACCACTATGTCTTAGCACTGATAACTGCACAGACCAAAATAAAATAAAAGGCAAATGCCTCACTGCTAATCTTACCTTTGATTTCACAAACGGCCATCTTTATACTTCCTTTGCTGCCTTTACAAACATCATCCTGTGAATCATAGTAGGACAATATCCCATTATCCAGAACAAACCAGCGAGGCTTCCAACCTAAGAAAATAGCAGAAACCAACGTTCATCTGTTTTGCTACAAATATATTTTTCACATACTCTGCAACACCATCCTTCATACAGAATTTACAGCTGAAAGCAAGATTCATGTTCATTCACATTATATTTGGGAATAAATGACATCATTTTCATAACATACATAGACTAACCTACATTTTGAAAATTATTTATTAGGCAGGTAGAAAAACTTAAATAGCTCATCTTAAGAATTTTAAATTGCTGACAAATTTCACTTCTGCAGTTCACTCTGCTGGCATAGATGGACATATTAAGTTTATGTATCCGATGTTTTAAAAGATTTATGCAGCTGTCATATTATATAAAGTAGCTCTAGGTGGCTAACAACAAATAGACTAATTATAGATTTCTTTTTCCAAACAACAAATAGACAGATAACAAGATACAAAAAAATCTTTTGATAGCATCAAGCACCATAACAATCTCATTAAGCCTCCAATACAGGGCTCATTTTAACAGTCTTTGAGAAGGCAAGGAGGTTTGGCACCCTTCACTTCAGAGGGGAAGCAGATCCACAGGTTAGGCACATCTACAAAATGTTTTCCAGGTGATAAGAGTGGGGGGAGAACCTACAATGAACCCCACCTATTCCAATCTAGCGGAGTAGAGAGATGTCCTCTGGGAGAGGAAGATAACTGATAACTGGCCCCATACCATTGGCCCCATGCCACTTAGGCTTTAAAAGTGATAACTAGAATCTTGAAAGAAGCTCATTCAGCTGGTGCAACAGGGGCCTAACATGGTTCACCTGTGGGGGTCCAGAATTGCACACACTGATGTGTTCTGGATTGGATGAAATCTCCAGTTGCAGGTGGCTTTACAGGTCAGCCCCATGTAGGGTACACTGCAATAGTCCAAATGGGAAATGACCTGGGCATGACTGACCATGAGCAGGATCTCCCAGTCCTACAGTGGTGCAGCTGACACACAAGCTAAGTCTGTGCAAAGGCCCCTCTGGACATGACTGCCATCTCTAGTGTAGGAAGGCCTCCAAATTGTGCAGTAATCTTGTCAAAAATGCAATAAGTAACTCTTTAGATCCAGGAATCCCAAAACCCAGAGACACACTGGCTTGCTAGAGTCATGTAGCCAATTTTTTTCCATCCAGATCCACATCCTTCAGGGTCTGGGTAAGCACTTAAATGGCATCTTTTGTCCAGCCTGGGCTTTCTACTTAATAAAACAGAGTTTAAGAAAACCTTTGAAAAAATAATATTTTTAACTAGCAACATCTACAGCAGGGGTGGCAAACTCGATTTCATTGAGGGCCCATTAGGGTTGTGTTTGACCTCAGAGAGCTGGGATGGGTGTGGCCAGGGTGGGTGTGGCCAGCTCAACATCACAGGTGTCAGGGATGCCTCAATTTTCAGCTGCGACAGTCTCCTGCAACCTTCTGCCAGCAAAAGACCTCCATTTTCACTGGCAGAGGCACTGCGGGCCAGCCCTTTGCTGTTTCCAGGGTAGCCCTGCGGGCCAGATCTAAGCACCCCGTGGGCCGCATCAGTCCCACAGGCCTAGAGTTTGACATCCCTGATCTACAGAGTATATTGTGTTGCGGGGGGAGTTAAAATCTACAAGATGAACAGCACAGGTTAACTCATTTGTATGTGTCAATGCTGCACACATACAAAAGGGACAGAGCTTAGATTGTGACACCCACCACAATCCACCCAGCACCTTTTAATCCTTTCCAACTGAAGCAAATCAGATCAAAGCAGTTGCTTTTAAAGAGATCATCTTAAAAGGTACTGACATTTTAGAATGTGCAACTTTATTTACATTCCATTAATTCAGTGGACAAATGCTGAAGATTATCCTAGACGGGATGAATTCTGAATTGTTTCTTCAGATACTTCTGGCAAGGCCGAATGATCTTAGTGGGCAAGACCAGGACTCTTGCATCTGAAAGCCCATTGCCAGAAATAATCTGGCCAGGAAAAAGAGCCTAGGTTTCAAATTGAGAGGCTCATAGTCCCTTTCTAGTCCTACTCTTAGATCTTTGTCTCTATAGACTAATTATAAATATATATAAATTTTTTGATAAAGACAGTTAATTCTCCATTGATATTTCTGTCATTTTTCCTCTTGTTTATGGATGGATGGAATATAGTATAAATATATACGTTATATCGTGAGAACATGTCCCATTTAAATATGTACTGAAAAGCACAATTAAAAATTAATGTGAAACATTCTAAAAAGCAGATACAATATAATTGATGCTCAACCTAGAAATACAATAAAGGTCTCGTTTGAAATATAAAAACACAGACATTCTTTACTATGTTAAATTACAAAGTAATATTTGAAATACCTATTTTAAAAAGAACCCCATGCTTTCCATATCTTATGTTACAGATATAGAACCAAGCCGTCGCTGGAGAAGACTCTGTAATTGGGGCTTACTAGGAGCTGAAACAAAAGGCTCCTCTGCAATTATTTCCGCTCCTGCCGCATCATTTAAGGGACTGAAGGAATCATAAGGAAGCAAAGGTAAAAGTTTGAAAGATATCAATACCTAACTAGCATCCATGTGCTATCAAGCACAATTTAACAATTTCCATATATTGCAAGGAAGGGACAACAGTATCAACCAAAAGCAGTCAAGCCAAAGCCCTGATTAAGCAATTTATGGCTGTCATTGCACCAATCAGCAAAGCTGTCTAGTTCTGGATGCAAATAAGGCTTTACTTACAGTTCATTTAATGACTGTTCAAAGTTACAACGGCACTGAAAATAGTAACTTTTGACCACTTTTCACACTTATGACCACTGCAGCACCCCATGGTCATGTGCTTTACGTTCAGATGTTGACAACAGACTCATATTTATGATGCCAGCAGAGCTCAGGAGTCATTTTGCAACATTCTGACAACAAAGTCAGTGGGGAAGCCAGATTCATTTAACAACCATGTTACTAATTTAACAACTGCAACAATTCACTTAACAAATGTGGCAAAAAAAGTCATCAAATGGGACAGATTCACTTAATAAATTAAGAACATAAATTTTGGGCTCAATTGTGGTTTTATATTGAGGATCTGTATATATAATTGAGACCGATATATACCTTAGTCAGAGACACTTAGCTGCTGGTATATGAACTAAGAACATAAATATGTCAAAACAGTTAAGTGTTCTTTCTTTTACATCTCACTTGCAGCATTTAACCGCAATATGTGATGCCTGTATTTATTTTACTATGTATTCTTCATTAATAGAAACAGCCCCCCCACACACACACAAATTAGAATATATTTTTTCATTTGTTTAGGATTTTGGGGGGAGAGGGGTTAAAATACTTCCAGAATATTAACTATCTCTTTGGGGAGTTGTGGCAAGAAGAGTTGTAAAATGGGACAAAACTCATGATACGTTTCTCACTCAAAAACGTAGATTTTGCGCTCAGTTGTGGTCCTAAGGACTACATGCATGGGCTGGGACTGATGAGAATTGGAGTCCAGAATCTGAAAGGCTACAGGTGCTACATCCGGGCTGTGCCTTTCATCTCCCTGTACTCTCTCCTCAGCCAGCCGCCCTGCCTTTTCCTACAGGACTTTGACCAGGCAACGCCTCGCCTCTCTTTCCCTCATCCAGAGGCTGCTGCCGTTCCTTTTCTCCCCCACCCCTGCCCCGCCTGCTTCGTTCGGTGGCGGGGTAGGGGTGGGAGAGTCCGCGCCTTATTCCGCCTCGGCGTCTTCAAAGGACAACGAGCAGCCGCCGAGGCCGCGGGGCCAACGGACAGGGCAGACCAGGCCCACGCGCGACTGACGCATCCCTCCCTCCCGCGCCCGATGGAAGGCACGCGGGATAACTTACCTGTGAGGTAGTCCCGAAGGTGCTTTTTTTTTCCCCACCCGAGACAACTAAACAGACTTCCTGGGTTGTTTTTTTCCCCTTTGAATACGTTTTGCTTCTCCTCCAAGAAGCTCAAGAAGAAGCTGAAGAAGCTTCTTGAAGGAGAAGCGAAACGACTTCAAAAGAAAAACCAGTCCGGCTTAGTTGCCACTTAGGAAGAAGAAGAAGAAGAAGAAGAAGAAGAAGAAGAAGAAGAAGAAGA